ATTTACGCCATCTGATAATTATGTACCGCCGCATATGAAATTTTTCCCGCTTGTCTATGCTATAAGAGATGAGTATATGTTAAGTAATTGATCCCTAATTATACCCTTTTGAGGTTAGTTCCGACTATTTAAAGTCCAGCCCCGCGGAGACTAATCCCGGAATATTATTTGGAGATTAGTCACACAATGTTTATGCAGGGTTCTTACTAGGAATGTTAATCCCGGGATCCCGGCCTTTTTAAGGTCCCAAGAATTCCGGGATTTTCGGGATTAGTAATTTCCACTGATGGCAATAATCGAAACTCCCTTTCTTGACCAGTGTTGGCTATATTTCGTTTTTTTTTATTTAATAACTAATATTTTTTTATAAATGTCCAGCTCACTATACATATAACACCATGCGATAGCAAATTTTAAACACAAATATCAATATATTCGCGAAACCATGGACCAAATATAGTAAAATTGCGTTTTTAGTTTTTCACTCTCACGTCAGTAGTTCAAAAATGATTTTAAAAGTTCAGAGGAATTTGGTAAGTGAAGAAGTATGGGTATCACATTAAAGAGGAAACTCTGAAGAATTTAAACAAATTGAAGTTTTTTGTGTAAGTATTGAAAATGGCCTTTTAAAATTTCATCCTTAAAATTTCGCAATATTTGTTTTGAAAAACTTATACTTATATAAAACCGAAAATATCCTCGAATTTCGTTCTTCCAACTTTATCTGCTTAAAAAATTACCTATTCGTCCTTCTGAATCCAAAAACTTTTAATTTTTTTAATACTAAAGAAATTTTCTCTTGCATTTGGTATCCATATTTTTATTCTTACTTTAATTGAATTTTTTAAATAATTTTTATAATTAATCATGTCTTTGAAATTACAAAGTCCCTTAAACTAAATCCTGACGTTAGATAGGAAAAATAAAAACGCCACTTTAAATAAAAAAGTAGGTTTCAAACCAATTTATTTATTATTTATTTTATGGTAGGAGAACTTCTCAAACAATATAAAACCATTTTTTTCGATTTAAATTGTTGAAAAGTAATGAGTATCTAAATACCGGGACTAATTCCGGGCTCCCGGGAGTGTGATACCGACATACCGAAAATCCCGAAATCGGAAAAAGCTGTACAATTAACATCCCTAGTTCTTACCGATGTTATGTACGTACATAAGTATGCGTGTTACTACTGGGTGGTTCACAAGGTGTCGTACTTGTCGTAATGTTGTATGTTGTAAAGTTTTTAACGGCTAAATAAATGTTTAGAGGACTTGAAATCACCACCAACTATTTTTTAATTGTGTGAAATTTCATAATAAAACTTTTATGTTAGCTTGCCAATTCCTTAAATATAGTTTTAGCCTTTTAAATTTTATGACATACAACAGTACGACAGTATACAACACCTTGTGAACTCCGTAAACGCACTTTACAGTCTCCTTTGTTGTACTAAAATACATATGTACACACATAGCAATGTACATTAGATGAAGTGTACCAGCCTTTGGTGCGTGCATGCAATTGTGATTGTAGATGGTTCATTTGCCACTGATCGCGCACTCAATATGTGTTGGCGTTAATTCTAAGAAATCAGTCTGTTTATCGCCGTTAACTGGCTTAGACGTACATTCTCCCCGGAACAGGTAAAAAAAAAACAAACTCGCAAACCAAGTGAACGCCAGTGTACTTTAAGCGAATGTCGCGATCCATTTAAAAAAACAAACACTATATTTGAAAAGTGAAACAAACCAATAAGGGAAGTAAATATGTATAGGTAATCAACAAAAGCGGTACGAAAAAGGATCGAACTTACATAAGAAGTGAAAGAGAAAGATCTTGGATTAAGCGCCAAAGGATTTCTGTTCGCAACATCGAGGCAACATGACGAAAGAAAATGGTACATTTATATATTGAAGATCTCTTCTAAATATGTACATACATATAAAAGTTAAACCATTTATACATATCGCACGTTTAATAATATACAGATGTAACTCAAAATTTAAGCGTTTGGAAATTTAATCATACAACTAACAAGCTTGATAAGGAGAATACACTCAGCCTAACAGATGTATTTTGGTATATATACCAACTATACGAATTGTTCAAACATTGATTGCGTTTTTCCACAAAATTAAAATTTTTAAATAATTCTCTTTATATTATTAAACGTGCGATATTATTCAATAACGCTTATGTAAGTGACCTCTTACTGCTACTTACTGTCTACTTACAAAATATGCAGGTCTCCTTTTCAAAATTCAGTATAGGGGTGACAGATCCGTATGCGGGATATAAAATTGAACAATACGATCTATATATTGGCAGTGTTTTTTCGCAAAAGCGCAGAATTTGTATTATTTAACTTATTTTTTCTTGAATATGTTAGGATCAAAAACCCTAGGTTTGGTATCTTTCACAACTTATGTAAATATGCCGGGTTGAACCGGGCTTGAACCCAGGCCCTGCGGAATGCTTGCGTACAAGTGAGGAATTATAGCGCAAAAATGCAACCGTTGTGTATTTTTTTTACAAACATCAGGTCATTATAAAAACATGTCAAATTTGAAGGAAAGTGCATTACTGTAAGATTTAGCTACCTACCAAGGTACATTGAACAGGTAGTATCAGTAGAGCAGCTGATTTGATTTATTTTCAAATTATTTGGTCTCGAAAATGTCAAATATTTTTAATTTTTTCTCACGAAAATTATAAGTTGTTAAAATCCATTTGCTTGTGAAACCTTTTCCATACAAAACAAGCGATTGAATAGCAGCTTTTGGAACGTTCGCCCAACTCGGCAGCACGACCGCTGATTACTGGGCCTTGCAAAGGATGGATCAATGCTTCGAGAAGCAAACAAATTTACTTGCATCAATTTTTATTTTTTCCAATTTCAATTTTTTATTTTTTATAATTTTTTGTATTTCACACGGCACGCTTTGATTTAGAAGAAAAAATTCAGAACAGTTTTTGACACTTTCGATACCAGAAGCAACAACAAAATACACGCAAATGTTGTTTTTGCTCTACCTGTTTAATGTGCCTTGCTACCTACCTAGAATACTTAGTAATACACTTTTCTTAAAATTTCTCTAATTTTTAATGTGGACTGATTTTTTACATAAATAAAAAAGGGAAATAGACAAAATTAATAATAACAATAATAGGTTGGCGCTTATACATATGTTAGTGTTTGGTCGAGCTTCTCCTCCGATTTGTGGCGTGCGCTTTGATGTTGTCACACAGTTTTACGCCGACTCCGAACGGCGATTGTATTTTTATGAGAAGCTATTTTTCATCGCAGAAATATACTCGGAGGTTTGCCATTACCAACTGGGGGGCGACCTCTGTTGAGAAAAAAAAAACGTTTTTCTAAATTTTTTTGCGATGTTGCTATGACCAGGGCTTGAACCCAGGGCCTGCGGAGTGGCAGCCCGCACTGCTTAGCACTACACCACGGCGGTATAGAATTTTTAATTGGTAACACTTCGAGTGCCTACTCCTGTATATTGCTCTCTCTGATGTTTGTGTTTTCCATACCCGTCAGTCAACTCGTTTTTGTATTTGTTCTTTACGAGTATACTAACTTTTATTTGTGAAAAAACCTGTTCCCATACATATGTATATATTTTGACCCGAAAACGCTTCTGCGACGTGTACACAATCGCGTACGTTTTTGTATTTGATGGGGTCCCTGACCTTAAACACTAAGTACGTCGTTTTCATTATCTGTGCTTTCCATTTCGTTATCACAGCGAAATCTAAAAATTTCGAATTTGATTTCCATTTAACTGATAAAGCGAAGTGTTTGCTATAATGAACCCAGTCGTGAAAAATATCGATTCATGAATTGATTTTTGGAAATTTAAATTTGTCGCTTTTCGAAAATTTTGAAATTGAAATTTTCAAAGTGAAATTTTGAAAGTGAAATTTTTCCATGTAAGCAACGGGAGACGCGGAAAATCTTTCTCTGCCATACATATCTGAGATTGCACTCATAATTTCAGGTGCATATGTATGTATGTAGGTATGTGGTTTTCCCTGCCTTTCGAACTTGTATTGAGGTCAAGCATTTACATACGTTTGCAGTCATCCCAGTTATATCTGTTTTTGGTTTCAGAAATAATAGCAATAATAATATTATGGGGCTACATTTTTGCTAAGTGTTTGGCCGAGGGTTTAGGTACATTAATAAAAATAAATTTTTAAAATAAATTTTCAAATTGCTTCTGGTTTGCGAATTGTTGCGGAAATTCCATATTTATTCCGAAAGAGTTGGGAAATGTATCCAAATTTACACTAAAGAAAAAAAGTATCCCTCAAAATTTGAGGCAAAATTGTATCACTTTGGATACATTTCCGCACCCAGTAGCTCCCCGGATAACACTCAACTCTAAATTTGGAGAACGACTGGTTTTATAAGGCTCTTCTCATAGACTGTGCTCTTATAAGGGTTTTATAAGGCTCTGCATGTAGACATGTTTTTATAAGCCTCAGTTGGCTTACAACAACATCTCTGTGGCTCGCCTTGGCTTATTTAGCTCAAACAGATCGTTTTTGAAATCGCAACACGCAAAATGATCGCCGCAAGCGTTGACTCAGCAAAAAAAAAGGGACACAAATCGAACGTCCTTCATTCACTGTTGTCTCGCGTTGGCTTGTATTTGATCAGCTGTAGGTTTTTTATCCTTGCTTTATTGTTAGTTTAGTACCAAAATAGTTTTAGGTCGAACTTCGAACGTAAATAACGCTAGCACTCTTTAATTTTTGAAATCGGAGTGCTCTTAAACAATATAGCTCTCTTTTTAGGATTTTTTTTTTCGTTTTGAACCAAAAGTGAGTTAAACAGACCGAAGTCTAGGTCTTGGAAAACCATATATTTAAAAGAAATTACTAAACACCGAGAGAACCTGGATACAATAATAATTTTTTTTCTAAGGCTTCACGTTGATACAATTTTGTTATACTAAATCATTTAATGACATTCGATGAATATGTTTGTAATAAGTTATCTTATAAATCCAATCGCAGATAATAAGCAAACCACTGATGAGGTTCAGATATCAGATACTCAACCAATAGCCAATGGCAAATCTATGAAGGATGGCATCTCTGAAGCAGAAAAAACTATCGAGCCATTATCAAATGTTTCAGAAGCAGAGGGACAAATTAAGGTAAGATTACGGTTTGCTTTGAGAAATCCACAGTTTTAATTCTGATCGTAAAAAATTCAGTTCTGAACCGCAGATGAAACTACGCTTTTTATTTAATTTTGTTAGATTAAGGTCATGCAATTAAAGGTTTATAATTAACATATTTAAAGGTAGAGATTTTTTTAAATTATGTCAGATATCTGACATCTTTGGTACGGCAAAAAATAACGTGATCAAGCAAACCACGTCTTGGTTAGCAAAACATCATATCTTTGGAGTTTTAATAAAACAACTTCTCTCGAGTGACGTAATTTTCTCTTACAAGCAGTAATTCATTGAGTTATCGAATAATATTTTTATGTTTAGTCATTATTAGGAGTAGTCAAAATGCTATCTCAATGAAAGTTAAATGGAAGCTTCTTATAATTTACTTTAAATTCCAACCTTCAGAAAGCACAGAGGTCGTTTTGTCAAAAGTCCACAGATATTAAATATACATTTGCGGAGTGCCTTGCTCAATCAAAATTATGAGCAGAATAAAAAAAAATTCAACAAAATCTTATTAATTATCAAACAACAATGAAGTACTCGATGTCTTTGATTGCAATGACAAGTCAATTTATTTTCAGAATCTTCCTTATCCAAAATCGGTCTTCTTTTTCCTCAACAATGAGTTTTTCAGAAGTGTTTACTTCTTTGGCATGCAAAGTAAGTGTAAAACAGCAACAAAGCAAGTGCTTTCTTTCAAATGCATATCGAACCCTAACCGCCAACAGAACGCAAACGAAATTTGTTTCAAAATTTTATTTTGACACTGAACAGCCTCTAGGGCCTATCCTCAGCGAGCGAACTATCCTCAAGGGGCCCTTAGAAACCAGTATAAGCCTGTTATACGAAGACTCCACTCCCCACGGGACTACCGCCAAATATTGCTTCGCGGGGAGGGGAGATGGGGTATAAACGCCACTCCTACGCCTCAGCATCTCAAAAATTCTCAGCCTATTTAAGATTGAGGGAATGACATCGCTGCTTGATGTCCGTTCTTTATCACTCTTACATACATACATACATACATACATATGCATGTTTAAGCAAACGCAATCAATCAAACCGACTTACAAATTTCGGGTTGAGTTGAATGATTCACATGATGCCACTCATGCCATGAATATTTTAGATCAAAATCCGTTGAGCTGAGGAACAAACTTGTTGGGGATGGTATGAGTATGATGAGGGCGTCGTATTCATAACTATGGCAACTTATACACATAAATCAATGTCGTTGTGCATATGTGTACTTATATCCAAAATATGCTGAGTGGCGGGGAATATCAAAATAGGCACTATTTGCTGATCACTGATCTGGATGCATTTCTGCATCGAAAAAAAAAATTTAAAAAAATGTCGCTTACGTTTTTTTTTTTTGCGGTTAGGGCTCTATATATACTATAAATACCCTGTCCCTTTTGCAGCTGTTCTCGTCCTGTACCTGAGTCGTCAACTCCTTTATAGTGACGACGACGCCACCATCATCTTCCACGTCTTTGGTGTGGTCAATAACTTCCTATGCGTTTTGGGTGCTATCATCTCCGACGGCTGGCTTGGAATATTCAAAACTATATCTTATTTCTCACTTGTCTATGTTGCCGGGGCAGCATTGATTGCTCTCGGTGCTGTGCCTCCGCTAAATTTGCCCGCCAGGACGATTACATTGACCGGTTTAGCGTTGATAGGGCTGGGCTGGGGCATGATGAAACCGTCCATATCCGCCTTTGGTGGTGACCAGTTCAAGTTACCCGAACAAGTAAAACAATTGGCGACATTCTTCTCGCTCTACTACTTTGCAGTCAATGCTGGTGCATTAATTTCGATCACAGCAACACCAATTCTGCGCGAAGATGTTTATTGTTTCGGCGAACAGGAATGCCCTTCATTAGCTTTTGGCGCACCGGCTATCCTCACGGCTGTCTCGTTATGTGAGTACATTTACACTGAAGAGATAAATGTAAGAGTCTTATTGAAATTATAAATGTATTTAAACGCTCACTCGTATTTTTTAGTTATCTTCATCCTGGGCCGCCCATTCTATAAAAGTAAACCACCAGCGGGTAATGTGGTGATGTTGGTCGGCAAAACTGTTGGTGTAGGTACACTGGAAAACATACATAGCAATTCACATAAGAACTAACAAAGTTACTCCAAATATGTAGAACGCTATTGCTACAAAATGGAAGGAGAAGAAGACCAATCCTCGTGAACACTGGTTAGACTATGCGGATAAGAAGTATGACCGTCAATTAATTGGAGATGTGAAAGTGCTGATGCGTATTTTGGTACTCTATCTGCCGCTGCCTGTCTTCTGGGCGCTTTTCGACCAGCAGAGCTCACGGTGGACTATCCAGGCAACTCGGATGGATGGTGACATGGGCTCATGGGATATCAAACCCGATCAAATGCAAATGTTAAATCCCCTCCTGATTTTGGCATTCATTCCGCTCTATGAACTTGCATTCTATCCTTTACTTGGTCTGGTCGGTATTCGTCGTCCTTTGCAAAAGCTGACTTTGGGTGGTATATTCGCCGGTATTGCTTTCGTTGTTTCCGGTATGGTCGAACTACAATTGGAGGTGAGCCAAGTCGCTTTCACAGTGGAGAGTTAACATTCGGAACCTAACTATTGGTTCTTATATCACAGGGCCTTAGGGTTTTTTCGCTTGTGGGAAGTTAGCTCACACGCAGTTAACCCAAACGGTTATATTGAAAATCGGTAATTATCTTCCGAATGCGAATTAACCCCTCACTCTAAATACAATGCAGACCTTAATGTTCAGAAGAAAAATAAAATAACATTCATTCATTTGCAGAAAACTTATCCTGTCTTGCCCAGCGCTGGAAATGCTCAGCTTCGCGTCTACAATGGCGAATTGTGCGACTATTCCATTACGACCAATTTGACAAATTTCAACTTTGATGTGGCCTCACTCAATATGTACAAGAACAGCACAGACATCGGCTCGGAAGGTTTCCTATACGTAAGATTCGATGTTACCAGCAAAAGTGCGAGTTGTGATTCATTCCCCAACCAAACTTTTATTTTCAACTCCTCAACCAGCCATTATTTGTTTTTGAACTCAAAAAACACTGCACAACCTCTAGTCTGGGGAGTGGACACAATCAGTAAACCCAGTCGGGGCTATCCGTTAGGACGTACATTGGCAAATGTAGATCCAAGTCGCCAAATTGATTGGAAAAATAAAAAAGGTACGATTCAGCACACCGAGCCAGCCAACTTGCGCAACATAACGGAGCTTAAGTCGGGCACCTATCAAATATTAGTTGATAATGTGGAGATTGCCAGCATATATCTCAAAGTTGGTGGCATTTACACGATTTTAATAAACGAAGATTCATCAGGCCAATACCGCAATAATGTCATAGTTGTAACGGAGCCCAATTCGATGTCCATTTTCTGGTTGATTCCGCAATACGTTATTATGACACTCGGTGAGGTGTTGTTCTCCGTAACTGGTCTGGAGTTTTCATACGCACAGGCGCCACTGACAATGAAATCAGTACTGCAAGCTTGTTGGCTACTTACAATGGCATTCGGAAATTTACTCGTCATAATTATAGCGAAACTATCGCTCTTCGATTCACAAGCGTACGAGTTCTTCCTTTTTGCCGGCCTTATGTTTGTTGACATGATTGTTTTCATGTTTGTGGCTTATCGGTACAAACCGAATACCTTAGCGTCGAATAGCGAAACAGAGACGTTGACGCCACCAGAAAAAGGTGAAAAAGATCGAATTTATATGGCCACATTATGCGATTGAGGAGCAGATACGATGGTGAAATGAAGATTGATTTGTAGTTAAGTGTACAAATAAATAAATATGTGTGTACTTTGTAGTGAACATTAATATGTATGTAATTACTATTGCTTTGTGCTTAATCAGTTTTTAAGTTACAGTACGATAAATAATAAAAAAAAAGTAATCCAATAACTACTGTATATGGATGTACATAAAAATACAACAAAATAACGCAAGAGATATACATACGTTTGAAAAAAAAACCGCTGGTAAGCGAAGCGTAACTGAAGGTGCGTTATCTCAAAGAACCGTTCGAAAAAAATACTCCAACCTAAATATATTTGCATGAAAAATAAATTGGGGTTAGATGCCTGTAATTTAACGTTATTTGACAAGTTGATCCCAAAATCCTGTATCCGCCACTGAGAGTCACACTTTTATTTGTGAAAATTTCTCGATGTTATCTCTGGATTATATGGGCAAATCTAAAACATAGGTACACTTCAAAATAAAATTTTAATTTCGAAATTTGTTAGCAAACCTATGTTTTACATATCATTTTATTCGTAATCTCTTAGTAAATCGATTAATATAAGTGTAATTCATTTTCACCAAGTGCTTCAAAAGTTAGACGAGGAATAATCATGAAATAGAAAACAAAAGAATAAACTGGGTTCACATTACGCTGTTCAAAATGTAAATTTTGAGCAAAGATTTTTAAAGTTGAGCTCTCTTAATTGGGGCGTTCTCAATTCAATGCCATACCCCGTTTTACCAGATTGGCTCCGGTTTTCGAGACAACGGTACTTGAAAATTTGATTAAATTTTAACTATTTTATAAATAACTCGCTCAGTTTTGAAGTTAGTTTTTTTTACATTTACATAATCTACACAACAGATGTAACCTGATGTTTGTTAATAAACCAGCGAAAATTATGTGTCTGAATAAAAACTGTCGAGTCATGCGAAAGTTCGAACTAATTGAGAATATAAGTTTTCAGTGAATATTGATTTATTCCTTAGCTACACTTATCTGAAAATCCAAAAAAATGCAAGACCGTATTTCCACTTCAATTCCTTAGCTTAGAAAATTTTGGATCGGATTTCATTTAATTTGTTCAAAAATGAGTTGACTTTTAAATTGTTATTTGGTAATTTTTCGAGAAGTCTTTGAAATTGGAAATAGCTTAAGTTGAGAAAAATTAGGAAAAATAAGCGTTTTTTTTTAAATTTTGCCAGACGAAAACTCACAACAATCTAAGTTTTATAAGAGATTGTTTTACATGATATTAAAGATCTATAAATCCTCTCTTCAAGTTTAGTTTTTAAAATCTGATGAAAAATAGTCAAGCTGTGCATCAAGTACAAAAATAACCACCAGTTTTGTTCAGGAACTATTAAATAACCATTTTGATGTTGTACTTGACCCTTTGGTAATATCGGTTAAAGACTTGATTGTCACAGAATGTGCATTCAACTTGTAACTAACCGCATGACGGTACCTAAACTTTAGCGATCCGAGCAATTTCTGGGTGGGTTTTCCAGGAAAAATCGTCAAAAAATACCCATCTCATAATAGAGGGGTTGGTGTTGAGAAAGCCTTGTGTTAATTATGAAAAATAATACAAAATATCTTTATAATGAATATATGTACATTTTTATTTGTTTTTGACAAATTTGGTAGAAGTTTCATTGTTATATAATATCAATTAAATTATTATCGAGATTAAAGATAGTTTCTCTTTTCCATATTTAAGCTATACATACTTACATAGATATACAAATGTAGGAAGGTAGTATACGGTCGTTGACAAAATACACTTTTAACTAAAATCGCACTAGTGGATTCATAAAACCGTCGCGAAGTGA